CTGGAGGTGGGATGAAGTTGTTTATGTTAAAAAAAAGCAGCCACATTTTTAAAAGTTTGTTTCCAATTTCTTTGAGTACCTCTGATGCCCCCTAGAGGAGACATAGTGTATCCTCAAACACCGGTGTAGTCCAACCTCAAATGTAGTTCAACTTGTTCCATTTTATTTTATTGACTTGGATTCGACTGTAAAAGAACTATGAAAATAATAACATGCAGCTCCACGTAGTCGTGTTTTCAGTTCAACGTTATGGACGTTACGTTTTTGTACGTATTTGTGGACCCAGTCGGGGTTGCAAAGGGGTGGAAAGACCCCGGCGCGGGGGGAGGGCCCTGCAGCGGCACTGGCGGTCCGTCCTGCCGTTTTTCTCTGCCGAGTCCTTCCTGCTGCTGCACGAGGCCGGGCGAGGGAGCAGGTCAGTGGTCAGAAAACAACCACTCAGAGCAGTGCAAACGTTTGACCTTTGAACTCACAGACGTGGTTCGATGTAGATGCTGTATTTATATTTTTGACAAACATTTTCTCTAGTTTTTTTTTGTTTTTTTCTTGATCTCTTCTCGCCCAACAGTTTGCCGGAGCACGTTGCGGTGGACCCCAGCCTCCTCCAGTGGAGTCTGGACTGCGGGACCATCCCTGTGGTCTGTCCGGTGGGCAGAGACGACCAGGGCTGCTCTGTGCTGTTGAACCCAACGGAGGTGACGGCTGCCATCGCCCGAGTGCTGCAGCCGCACAAAGTCATGTTCCTGAACAACTGCGGAGCCCTGCGCAGCCAAGAACACAAGGCACGGAGAGCGACCTCTTGTGGAATATGTTTTGTTAGACAGAACCTGTTTTATCTCTGACTCTGTTTTATCTCTGACTCCAGCCTGGACGTATTTAAAACACAGCCTTTTTAATGTATCACGTACACTTTATGTACCCTGATCCAGGTGTTGGACACAGTGTCACTACCTGCTGATCTGCCCAGTCTATCGACTGCAGCGTGTTTGAGCACCGACCAATGCCACAAAGTGACCACCATCGCCAGGCTGCTCAACCAGCTGCCGGGTGAGTCCTCGGCAGTGATCACCTCGGCCGACACGCTGCTGACGGAGCTGTTCAGTCACAGAGGGGACTGACTGACTGACTGACTGACTGTCTGACTGACTGACTGACTGTTTAACTGTCTGATGTTCTAATTCTCTCCATCTGACGTTCCACCTCAGGGTCAGGAACACTCTTTAAGAATGGAGACCCCATACATCGGTGAGTTGACCTCTGACCTCCTTCAGTCCAGTGACCAGTGCCTGTGTACTGGCGGTCTTCTGTCTGTGCAGGTACACCTGTCTGGAGGGGATCGATGTGGAGCGTCTGCTGGCTCTCATCAACCAATCGTTTGACAGAACTCTCAGAGAAGACTACATCAAGTCCCTGAACGGACGACTTCACTCCATCTACCTCTCTGAGGGGTGTGTAAAAGTACTGACAGATTCACAAGCATCATCTGAAAGTCCACAGGGTACAGAGTGACCAAAAAGGATTCAAATCCCAGGTCTTTGACTCCAGCTCCGTCTGAGTGGAGGATTATTAAAACCTGTTTAAAACCCCCAGAGCTTCTTGACCAACGAGCTCTGCTCCTACTTCAGTGCTCTATATTCCCTCACGATCTCGGACCAATGAGCTCTGCTCCTACTTCAGTGCTCTGTATTCCCTCACGATCTCTCCGCTCGTCTAGGGAATGTCATATGGCAGGTTCTCTCCATGAGTTGGAGTTCCTCCTCTAACTTCCTTCTGCGTTTGTTTCCTACCCACTGGTCTCCTTTCAGGGGTTCCTCTGTGTAACCTGACTGGGTTTAATCCTCCTCTTGTAAGTCACTGTGGATAAAAGCGTATGATAAATGTATGAATGTAGATGTAAATGAGTCCTGATGAAATTAGCCCCTAGTGGTAAGGTGAGGTAATACCCCGGGGTCCACTGACTCACTGACGTCCTGTCATTTTCTGACCTCTGTGACCTCCAGCTACCACGCTGCAGCCATCATCACCATGGAGCCCGTGAACGGCGGCACTCCGTACCTGGACAAGTTTGTGGTGCGGAGCAGTAAGCAGGGCCAGGGCACCAGCCAGATCCTGTGGGAGTGCATCAAACAGGACCTGGGGAAGCTGTTCTGGAGGTCCAGAGCCACCAACTGGATCAACCCCTGGTGAGACACCCAGTCTGGAGCTGCAGCTTCTGTAGTTTCTACACGATTTCAACACGTGTGCTGGTTATTGCAGGTATTTCAAACACTGTGACGGCAGTTTTGTGAAAGGGAAGTGGACCGTCTTCTGGTACGGCCTGACAGACATCAGAGATTCCTATGAGCTGGTGGAGTTCGCCATGAACCTCCCCAGCTCCTTCTGTAACTCCACCTCTGCCACCTCCTCCGCAGCTGTGGCCTCCTGAGGCACCTGCTGTCCACTGAGGGGTAAAACTGTGCTCTGGTTTCTTAATCAGAAACAGTGGACTGTCCACTGCACCTTAGGTCTTAAAGAAGCTTTCCTTCTCTGGTTTACACTTTTCACTCAGTTTTTTCCCTAGAGATTTTTTTAGAGATGAAAAAAAAGAGCCTTAAATTCATAAAAATGCTAAACAAAGATTGAGCCATATTTTTGAGCCCCAACCAAACACAAACACGTGTATAGTCAGCAGCAGTGTGTGAATGGACGTGAACAAATGGCACACTCAGAGGCAGATGCCTTTCCATAAATATCGTTTTATGGCTGGTGGAAATGTGCTGTTAACGTGTCATTTAAAAGTGATTTAAAAGAGTACAGTTACTTGATATTCCTTTTTGTGGATACCTACAGTACCACACAAGTACACACTCCAAACAGCAGCCTTACAGTTCGACTGCTGGCCAGTCAAACCACTTGCTGCATGTTGTTTGATTTTTCTCACCAAAATTCCTATCTATTCTTCTGTCTCCAGATTAAGGAAAAAGCGACACCTACAGTAAAAAGGTAGCTATTGGTGATGCTGGGGTGTTGGTTAAATGTTCTATTGACACTGAGTTCAACTTTACCACACAGTAGTTCCAGTTTAAAGAAAGCAGGTATTGCTGTGCTGAGCTGTGTGTATTTCGGGAATGCATTTACTGAGGAAATAAAAGTGAATGAATGCAGTGATGTAGTTTTATTTATTTTTTCTTTTAAGGTTTCAAGACAGCGGTGATGTTAAAAATGACACAGAAAAGAGCAAGTTTCAGTTTAATAATTTTCAGTTATTAATTTCATGTATTTTTCATTCGTGGAGCTTTTATCCCAGAAAAGTGTTATACACATTAAAAATATAATAAAAGCTTTATTATTTTATGTTTTTATAATTTAAAAAAGTAATATGTCTTGGGTTTTTTATTTGATAATTTTTTATTGAGAATACGGAAACGTTTTCGGAAGTGTACACTCGTTACGCGTAAATGTAAATGTGTTGGTATATAGCTGTAAAAGCTCGCATGTTATTCGGTAAATACAATATTAAGGTCTGGTTATAGTATTCATTTAAACATGTGAGTCGTGTTTAAATGTGTTCAATTTTTTAGACTGACACTTTATTAGAAAATACTTAAAAATAACTTTCAAAAGCTACATGCTAACGCAAATTAGCGGCAGCTCACCTGATAGCATCTTCCAAGCCAAAACATGGGAGACACTGGAGCTGAAGTGCCAAAGGGACAGACGTCCACAGCGGCAGAGAAGCAGCAGCAGCAGCTTCGCCGCCTTCAGGAGCTCAGCTCCATGAAGAAAAATACTGCGCGGCTCCGCACGAGGAACCTGCTGACCGGTGTGACCATTGGAGCGTTTGTGCTGGGAGTTTGTATCCTTCAGACTGCTCCGTGTGTCCAGCTGATGATGTAAAGTGTCCTTCATTCGGAAAAATGATAGCAAAGAAGGTTAAACTCAGGTCAATAATTTGTTGGCGATAACACTTAGCAGGATGTGATTTGGTATCTATTTGGTCACCTGGTTTCATTATTTTATTGATTGTTAAAAACCACGAATTAAATAGGTTAATAATTAGTTTAATAAGTTGAAACAAGTCCCATTTTGTACATGAATTTTTACAATGCGAGTAGACAGATTTTAAACATATATAAACGGTATATATTTAACTTATCTAGTGGAGAAAGCTATGTCTATACAACAGGATATTTAATGGTGAATAAAATTAACATAATATTTGATGATGGTATATTAAGAAAGCACATGTTGAGAATGAATTATTCTATTGTCATTGAAGACATAAGAAAGCACATGTTGAGAATGAATTAGTCTATTGTCATTGCAGACTAAAATTGTGTTCTAAATTTTTGTGATTTTTATCTCAACATTTATATAATGAATCTTTTAATTTTCTACTGTGTGTTTCACGGTAAAAGTACAGTATTTTCCCTGACCAAATGTGTCCAGTCGGCTACACGATCATGTCTGTCAGTCAGGAGAAAATCGTAGACGAGCTGGATAAGGAAGCTAAGATTCATATCTTCAAGGGTCCACGAACCGGGGCCAACTCCTGACCTGCTGTTGGCAACAAGGACGGCAGCACGTGTGACCGCTGAGGCAGAGCAGCTCCAGGTCACATCAGCGGAGTTTCCCTCAGTCAGAACACGGACTTTGTTGTCAAAACTCACGCAGGTTTGATTTTTGTTTTCCATCTCACAATGACATGAAATCTACGGACAAAATTGTTGACTGTTTTCAAAATTCTTCTAAAACAAAATTCAGCAGTTTCCCATTTACAGTTCCTCAGCTGGGTATGGAGTATATATTTTTCTTTTTTTTAGTTGAGAATTATTGATATATATATCTTTTCTTCTTCTTTTTTTAGTTGAGAATGATTTTTTTGATGATAATTAAATGTCAAATATAAATAAGAGTTTCTTTGAGGTTTGGAAATTGAATTTCAATTGCAAACAATTGTGTGTATTTGTGGAAAACTAATTCTATTGTGGTCTATTCAAATGTATATTCTGGGTGTTCACAGCATCAGTGTATTTATGTAAACCTGACTGGTGCCTGTAGCTTCACTAATTCAGGTCTAAGTCCGGTTTAAGATGTAGTGGAGAAAAGATGTACATGTTTTTCAAGGTGGGTATTGTGGCAACATGTGACCACCAGAGGGCGCAACAGCACTAGATTAGAATGTGACAAAACCACTCTGCATCGTGTTGCTATTTTCAAGCACTTTTTTGACCGTTTACTCTCGTGAAATCGTTACGGCCTCTGACATGACGTCATCAACACATTATTAAACTCCAACTCAAGTCACGTGATTGGTCATCGTCTGATTTCTTCAGCCAAGTTTGCCCACAATGCACTCTGCTCCTTGTATGTGGTGATCAAGTTTCTCAGACCTTCCACGAAGCTGGACTAAAGTGAGTACACGTGTAAGTTCCAAATGGACCCAGTAGAGGGAGTCTGAGACAGCTTTAACAACATGCCCCCTCAATATGACGCCCTCACCCCCTCACTTCCCCCCACCTCTTGAAAATCACCAACTATCCTCCTCTTGTGACACTGACTCTGGGATGCAGCGCCACACGATGTGGATATTAGACGTTGTATTTTTCCCTCCACGTCGTCCACGTCATCAAGGCCAGAACAGCTCACAGTTTTCAGATTATCACCGAGGTGGAGCAGACGGACCTCGTTTTTATTGACGTTCTTGACATTTAGTGTCTTTAAAACTAAAATATAAAAATAAATTTTATTTCTGTCACTGCATTTGATTATTTATTTGTTTTTATCATTTGAAGTTCTGTCCGCTCCTGTACGAACGTTTTCTCTCCGTGTGTTCAGTCCTATATTCACTGCAGTTGGCCAGTTCAGACTTGTCTGTGTGTGTGTGTAGGGAGGTGGGGTTTGGGGGGGGGGGTGGGGGTGC